GCCTTTGTTCATTCGCTAGAGTCGAAAAAGAAAGAAGACACGGATGCGGGTATGGGAATGTTTTATCTGTTCCACACCTACACCCTTTTTTTTGTGTTAACCCATATACAATCAGCGTTTTGATCGTATTGGTGATTTCGTAGAATACAATAATACAAAATACATGTATCTTTGTTCATTGACTATAAAAAACATTAGCAATCATCATATCTTCTATGATAATATAGAACGTAGAATAGAGATGGACCATTCGATAATGACCCGATTAGAAGATGTACCTGTCGAAATTTTTATAGCACTCTTTGATTAATTCACTGCTACTGGAATATATTGAGCGTTCGCTCATTGAAGCAATCGTTTCAATTCAAGTCGAAATTCGTCATTCAGAAATATACCCTCTTTTCAAACCTAATGTCATCAAAGGTAATAATCATATACTTTAAACTTATCCATCATCAGGTTTCCATTAACATCCTGATGTGTTTTAGATGAAATAGAAAATATACTTCGTACTAATATTTGTTCTCAACTGTGATCACTAGTTTCACCGATTAGCTCATCTTAGCTGGTTCAACTCATATCTAGCGGCGAATTCCTTCGCTTGGAAATATGTCGTCTTGGCAAGTGTTATTCAGTAGTTCTCCCGCTATCGACAACTACTATTCAACTACAAAGTCTTCGCCAACTGATTATACGATAACAAAATGGTAGTGAATTCGAGAAGACTTTATTCATGTACCCTAATCTGACTTATTTTGACTTCTCGTGTAACGATGTCATTTATCCATTCGTTTTCATAACTGATTGCTATCCATCTATGAAATATCTGCGATTCACTTGTTTCAAAGGTTTTTTATTTCACAATGATCAATTTGATTTTTTTCTCTCACTTTTTCCTAATCTTCGTCAATTTCATTTGTTCGTTGATCAATGCTATCGACATCTTGAAGTAAATTACTTTGCAAAAGTTGCAAATATTCTGCGTGATCAACTTCCTTCTTTTAAAATATTGGATTTACGTATTTGTGTGACAAAATACATGCGCTTTTTACATAGCACCTTAAGGTCATTGATCAGAGGCATCCTCTTTTCGAATATATACTTCAATGTAATTCACTTGTCACGATTACGTTCTACGATTTTGTTCCAAATTACGCTTACATTCGTCGATTCGCTTGTTCTTTTTCTAAGGGAAAATGTTCAAATGAATTTATTAACAATAAAACTGACATAAAATCATATACATACATTTAGCTTATTAATTTTTTGATAGGATTATTTGATTATCATGTGATTTATATTCCTTTCTTATTCTGTTTTTCCTTCTATCACTAACATTAAAAAAAGAAATCTGGATCGTGTTTTTGTCTTTTCTTGACAAAGTACATACAAAGAAACTGATCATTTTTTTTATTAGAGAGTTCGAAAATTTCGATAAAAAATTGAATATAGAATGAATATTACAGAAACCTAAATTATGATTGAAGACTGTTTCAAATTCGGATCGATTATCGCAAGTCGAAAAAGAAATTCAAACATCTTTAATCCATTCGCGTTCAAGATTTTCAAGCCATTGAAACATGCATTTGAATGCTTGTTCACGGACGGGTTTTTTCGATAGAAATACATCATGAGTTGCTTTTTCTATTGGACAGAGTGTCACATGTTGACCGAGCATACCAGCTGCTCGTCGAATGTTTTCAACATTAAGTACAAGATCAACTAAAAATATAGTCTAAGCAACAGAAAAAGTTTGTAATAATTACCTTCAGCGTACTCGTCGCGCCAAATCGTATCACACTTCATCGATCTATTTGAACTCATGAATAATATCGGACATTTAATGGAAGTACCGTTCTGTGCAATTTCAAGCTGGGCACGACGACAAGCGGCAAAAAATGCACCGTGAATGCGTACTTTGTCAATAGGCTTTTTGGTCGTATCGAAATTCCATTCACCTTTATGCGATACATGCAATGATCGACCGTTCCATCTAGGTATTTTTTTTTCTTATAATAAAGTTCCAGTTAGATATAAAACAATATTACCCAGCTATGATGTCTTTGGAGCTATTCGTTGCTATAAGAATACTCACGAAAGCGGATTGAATTGCTGACTTGTCAAGTTCGACCAGATTTGGACTGTTGAGTATGAGAGCATCAATATCACTATGTTTTGGGCCAGATAATGCATATAAACAAGCGGTGAGTCCACCTACTCATCAAAGGAAATTGAAATTCCACATTTGATTCAAAAGTATTAACTGACAAAATATAACTGAATAACGGGGAAAAGCATATTTCTCAGTTTTTTCGAATGCTGAGATGCATGAAAGTAAGAATATTCACTAAAACTTGCAAAGTTCGAGAAATTTCGAGAAGCAGGTTGTGGATATGTCCGTGGGTGTGCGAAATTAAAGTAGAGAATCACACTCATACCTCATATCCACACCCAGTTTTTCTGATTCAAAAACTAACCAGCACTGGCACAAAACTATTTACTCCTGAAGCATAGTCTTAGAAAGTCCGATCGATTCATCAAGATCCAATATAGAATTTTGACGGAGATGGAACTTAACGACTGCAACAAATTATACATGTAGTTTGTAGTCGTTGAAAAACTCTGTTGATTGATTATTTTATTTTTCGAACTTGTGAAAATTTAGCTTTTTTGACATTCTCTGTGCCCGTGCTGCTAAGAAAAATGATATAATTTAGCCAAAATAGTATTTTTCGATTTAGTTTTTCTTTTATTTCAATGGAAGATGGCTATTTTACCTCACTATCAGGTGAAATTTGATCTAAGATTCTATTGTTAATTTAGCTGACAAAAAATATTAGCTTTGAGTCAGAATTGTGTCAAGCTGAGTTCTCCAATTTTCAATTTAATTTAAACAAACATTGAGTTATGTAACGAAAATAGTACGCTTCACTTTTGGAGCATGATAAACAATGCGTTGAAAATTATTTTTGAATATATATTGAAAGTTCATCTTTTATCATGTGTTAAGTATTCTCTTAAATAGGTTTCTCTAGAAAAATTTTCGGATGCAGGCCTTTTCCTAGAATTGGAAAGTGAACCTTGTGGAAAAGGAACAAGTTATTGGCGAAAAACTGAAGGCGATATTCAGCTATTTTAGGTCATCTACTATTAAAATTGAATGTTTTTACACTTCGTGTGCAATACAATAACTTATTTTAATACCTGTGGAATGGCCAATAAGTGCGAACTTTTTGTTAGCATATTCTTCTGCTTGTTTGTTCATATGTTCAATGGAAAGTGAAATTTCTTCATCGTACTCGTGCATATCCGTACAATAATGCCTATATTGATCTTGTTCAGGTGAAATTATTGACCGACCACATTTGTGCATATCAAGTGCAAAAAAATCATAGCCAAAGTCCAAAAATCGATTACATACATGATCTCTTGGAAATAAGAGAACATACTCGAAATGAAGAATACAAAAATATTAATTTATTTTATCCCTTACTGGAAGAAATAATCATTGTAACCATGCAAATAGAGAACAGCTTTGTATAGATTACTTTTTTTCGTTGTTCGAGCATGCAATAAAGTTGCCCTGTTTGGACCAAAATTGTCCGGTTTTAGAGTGAAAACTGTCGTCTCATATTGAGGAATTGATGTTGTTTCAGTATTTGCATCCATATTTTGTTTTAACAAAAATCTAAAACATGAGCCCTTATATTCTATTTTCAACAAAATTGACGAATCAAAACGAATGCTTGAATGAGATTTTTCCAGTCAACCCGTATCTATTCAATAGAAAGACATATGACAATAAATGGAAACATACAAATAATAATTGATGAAGTCATTTTTTTTATCGAAATTTTTGCTTTTGATTATTATCGACACTTGTTTTGGTGTTGATAATGAATACTGTTCGTCAATGAGTATTTCTAACTTTAATGCCAACTGAACTTCTTGCTTTGTATCCACCAGAACTTCATGCAGTTCATCAAATTGAAGATTTTCAACTGTTGGCGAGAGAGACTTTCCTGTAGCTACATCGATTCACCTTTGAATAGCTCAATAACTGCTCGAATATTGTTTCAATATTGGTTTTTCGCAAATACCTAATACAGATGTGTTCAGTTTACAAGTTGGTCGACAGTCAAAAAATAATGTATGAATGCACGTATTGATGTTGGGTATGTATTGTTATAAATTTTTTTTCTTACGTTATCAAATTATTCGAGCATGTTTTTGCTGCGAATACAGCACTGTCAGAATTGTAATAGATAAGAATAATATGCAAAGTGAGCATAAGTAAATCCCTCACAACAACAATCCAGAGGCCATCGCAATAGACAGACAACGATGTATAACTGGCAAGAATCGTAGATAAAAATGATTCATTCAATTTTGCCGTTATATTATTCGTAGATTCCACATGAGGTTGCTCATAAAATACACGTCTTTACGTGAGTTATTAAAACACATGTTGCAATTCATTCATTGAAGAACTTTTGAAAATTAATAAAAGCAAATTGAGTAAAAATTGAACTAATTAAGTCATAACTTGATCAAGGAATGAATCAAAATGTGAACACTATGAACATAGGTGATCGAACTACCGGTACAAATTAATTTCAAACAGACATATAACTACAGACGGTGGGCTATAATATCAACTACTTCTCTCTATTGATGACTTACGAAACAAAAAACACGAGCTTTATCTGTTGATTCTTTGTGAAGAAATTCATGTCGCTTATCTATGATAAATATTCTACATAACAAAAAACAGACTATGCACCCAACTTATTTGATAAGTGTTGAGGTGAAAAATTATTTTATCTTTTGTCAAATATAAAGGTAAGTTAATGTGTGTCTCTTATAAAGAGAAAAACCAAAACTTTATTTCAAACAAGTGCTTCATCGTAGCAAAAATTGGACTTAACAATATTGCTTTAAGAGCAATTCCACGTAAGCCACAATCATCAGCATAAAAAATTGGCTCAATTCAAGTTATCTTGTAGAAGGAAAAGATTTATGAATTTTGACGCTATCCATTTTAAAACATGCAGAGCCTTTGATTTTTTATGAGCGTTTTACAAACAGTCCTAGAAAGATCATTTCGATCAAGATGGCTTTTGGTGAGATCATATTTGAAGACCGGCTTGACCGATTTCAGCCGAAATTGTCAGACTCCTTCTTATTACAGACCATAGCAACCGGCATTACAGACGGTGAATGACATTAATAACAAGACTTAGAAGGTTCTAGAACATTCCTCGAAATTTGAACACTAGAATATATCTTTCCATCAGAGGTGCAGAATCTGCCGTCTTTTTAAAAAATTTCCCCGCACGATGATGTCTTCCTCCAGCTATTTCCCCAAAATTCTCCTATGAATCGAAAACTTTCCCCACACGGCCGTATGCGCACACGGGTAGATTCTGCACCTCTGCTTTCCATACTCCAAATTATGCAGTTTCTGATTTCTGCGCAAGAAAGTGTATGTTCAATACGTCAACGATGATGGTTAGTGACACATTGACTTGTCACAGTTGTTATTATATGATCAACATAAAAACGTGAATGGATCATGTTATAACTTTGGAAAATAATCAATATTAGTGTTTGTGCGGTGATTGAGATTTATAGTGGTGCCTTAAGATTTACTCTTGTAGATATTGTACATATTGTACGAAAACCTTATTTGTCATTTAATTCAATTATGATATTCCCTCGACTGTAGGGAGGGTCATATGAAAAAAAATAGTTTGTGGCAGTGTGGCAGGGTCAAAAAAATATCGTCTAAAATATTAATGGGCATTCGTTTTCCACATGTGCCTCCAGTAAAGTTTGACCAAAGGTTATCGGGGTCGGGGAATCGAATGGTACCATTAGTTTTTGGATTTTTTCAAATAATTTTTTTTACTAAAGAAAGGCTTTTTTAAGAAAATAATTCCCTCGAATGTAAGGAGGGCCATATTCCCTCAACTGTAGAGAGGGTCATATGAAAAAAAATAGTTTGTGTGTGTGTCTGCATCGGGGTCAAAAAAACATTAGGGTCAAAAAAACTTTCACTTTAGAAAATTTTCCATAAAGGTCGACGAAAGTAAATCGGGGTCGGGGAATCCGAATCTGAAGTCAGTTTCTTAAAATTTTGAATCGGGTTTTTAGGGTCAAGAAAAGGGTTTTTTGAGAAAATAATGATATTTTATAAAGGTTGACGAAAGTAAATCGGGGTCGGAGAATCCGAATCTGGAGTTAGCTTTTCAAAATTTTGAATTGAGTTTTTTGGGTTAAGAAAAGGGTTTTTGAGAAAATAATGATACTCCCTCGACTGTAGGGAGGGTCATATGAAAAAAAATAGTTTGTGTGTGTGTGGCTTTGTGTCAAGGTCAAAAAAACATCGAAGTTGATTTTTTTAGAAAGATTGACGAAAGCAAATCGGGGTTGGAGAATCCGAATCTGAATTTAGTTTCTCAACATTTTGAATTAATTTTTTTTAGGTTAAGGAAAGGGTTTTTTGAGAAAATAACGGTATTTTGTAAAAGTTGACGGAAGTAAATCGGGGTCGGAGAATCCGAATCTGAAGTCGGTTTCTGAAATGTTGAAATGAACTTGTTAGGTTGAGGAAAGGGCTTTTGAGAAAATAACGATGTTGTAAAGGTTGACGAAAGTAAATCAAGGTCGGAGAATCCTAATCTGAGGTCAGCTTCTCGAAATTTTGAATTGAATTTTTTTGGTTCACGAGAAAAGGTTTTTTTGAGAAAATAATTTTTTCTAGAGCGTAGGAAGGGTTATTTGAAATAAAATAAATTTTTGTCAGTTTTTGCCAGAGTGAAAGGTGAAACGTGATAAAAAATGTTGGCTAAGTGTTTGATTCTCGTACTTTTAATGTTGAACTTTCAACCAATTCGATCTTTCAGACTGAAAATTAAGTTAATCCGACATATA